TTTTCTTCTGTTTTTACCCTCCTCTTACACTGATATTCTAAATAAAGGCCACAAAGTTCTCAGCTTTGGGGCTACTTCTGGGGTATCCCTAGCACTGACACTCTCAGTTGAGATTGCCCCTCTGGCCTCTCAGGGTTTAGGCCAAATCCCATCTCCAAGCAATCTTTTCATCCTCTGAACCACCACAGTCACACACTGTAACAGAGACTCCCCAAATACATGCACACACACACGCACACGCACACGCACACGCACGCACGCACGCATGCACACACATGCTCTCATGCACCCACACTCACGGATCCTGACAATGGTGTGCAAAGTTCCAGAGCCCGTTGTGAAACAATGCCTGAGTCTCTGGCAACGCTGGTGTCCTGGGCCCTCGGGGGCTGGCCCGGTCCAGGGACCGTGGATCCCCCGCCTAGATGTTACCTCCTGGGTCCAGGCCCCATTGACAGATGTGTGGTGTGGCCCCGTGTGGCGCGGAGCCAGCCTCCTGGGGTAGTCATGAAGACAGGAGGGGAGGTGAGGACAGATGAAAGCAGGGACAGTGTCCCATGGGGTCGAGCCCCGCTGCCCACGGGTCACCTGCGTTCTGAGCTCCCTGGGCTGCCGCCTGCCCCTCCGCCCCTCCCTCGCTCCCGGCCGGCGTCCTGGGGCCCTGCCCAGCTGAATGCACCGCGCCTGTCCGGATCTGCTCTGACAATCCCACGTGGGCAGAGGCGTGCGGTTCAGAGCGGAGTGTGGAGCCCTCGAAATCAAGCTCCAAGGCTGGGGAAATGGGGAACAGCCCCCATTCAACCAGGGCCCCTCGTAAGTGTGCTGCAGACTGAGGCTCAGGGGAAGGGCTCGTCTGAGCAGGGAAGCTGCTTTTTCCCAAAACCCACGTGCGTGTTCACATACACAGCAGCAGCAGCAGCTGTCACGGAGCCAGCCCAGTGCCAGCCGTGTGTGCCTGTGGGGTTCCCCTCACCCCGAATGGGCCCTCCGCTCCCGGGTCCTCGCAGCTGCGCAGAGTAGGCCCGGCCTCCTCTGAGTTCACGCCCTCTGCTCAAGAGGGTGATAAAGACCCACAGCACAGGCCAGGCCACCCCACCTCCACCGGACACCATCACTGCAGGGAGCCCCCAGGGTCCCCCACGCTCTGCCCAGGACTTGCTGCTTCAGCACTGGGGCAGCGTCCAGGCGGGCTGTGAGGACAGCGGGCTCCAGGCTGGGCTCCTCCTCGCCGGGCCCTTCCCCTGACACAGCGCTCCTGGGCCGGGAGGGCCTCATTCACCCCTTGATTCCGGCTGGGCGAGGGTCCCCCGGCTCTGTGCACACGTGTGAGCTGAGCGACCGCCAGCGAGGGCTCTGTGCCCATGGGGCCGGGCCTGCCCTTTCCCCATCTCTGCTCCTCCAGGCGGAAGGAGGCCCGGCTGCTCTGTTTACTCTGCGTTCTCTGCCCCTCGTGCACCACATTGATCTCGGGTTCGTTTTTCTCCTTTTTCCTCCGATCTCCCTATTAGTTCAGCCTCAGAAAGCCCCTTATCACCTCCGGATGTCAGGCCCTGGGCCTGCCTGGCCAAATAGATTCCCCATTAATTGATTTTGCCCTCCCCCAGGGAAGCTCAAGTTGGCTCTGCCCATTAGCAGCAGTAATTCCTGGAAGGGACCATAAATCACACTGTCCTGAGGGGAGTCGCGGGTGGGGAGGCCCTGGCATCCCGCAGGGCCTCCTAAACCAGCCAGGAGGACAGGTGCCAGCCCTCGGGGACACTGATCTTGTGGCAGAGTGGACACAGAGAGGGAGGAGGAGGGCTCTGCTGACCTCAGGAGCTGGCAGCTCCCCAGATCCCTCCACCACAGGCCCTTTCTCAGGCTGGGGTGGCTGCAGGGCCATCGGAGGTCCCCTAAGTGGACCCGCTCCTGGGACAGATGCTGTCTTGCACCTCATTAGGGTCAGCAGTTGCCAGGCTCTGGGCAGCTGGGGAAACCTGCGTGTGAGAGGAAGAGGACAGAGCAGAGCAGAGGCCAGAGGCAGGACACCAGGGCCACGGGGAAAGGCAGGAGGCCTCCGTCCTGCTGCCCGCGCAGCGCTCGCGGTTTCTCTACAGCGGCTGCCGGCACACTGGGGTTCTTAATCTGCCACCCACACCTGAGTGGAGAGACGTGCCTGAGGGAAGCCTGTGCCACTTCCTCCCGGAACCTGGGGGGGGGGGGAGAGAAAAGAAGAGGAGGAAGAGGAAGAAGAGGAGGAGGGCACCGAGTGGCCCTCTTTAGCACAGCCTGTCCAGCCCACAAAGGACACCTGGTGCTAGAGAGGCTGCCCCATGCTGCTGTGGCCCCTGAGCACTGGCGGCTGGACTCTGTCCATGACCTCGAGGCCTCCGCACACTGCACGTCTCCTGGCCAACCCAGTGTCCTCACCTGAGTGCAGGGTGGACGGTGGCCTCTGCCTCCCATCTCTATGGATCAAGAGGGGACCAAGGAGGGTGGGCTGCGGACAGTAGATGCCTTCTCCTCCCTCCACGAAGAGCCCCATTCCCACACAGCTAGGAGTTCTGGCTGCTTAGCCCAGGCAGGTCCGACACCTCACGCAGCCCTGCAGGACTCCAGGGCCAGCATGTTCCAGCCTAGCAGTCGCCTACAGAGAGGGCCACAGCCAGACCCAGTGGAGAGACGTCATTCTCAGCCTGACCACGATCATGGCAGGGCTAGGTTGTTTCACAGCCCGGCTGCCCAGCGCTCCCTCCAATAGCTTTCTGCATTATGTGTGAAGCCAGAAGGTGTTCCTGTCCCTTCCAGCTCAAATTATGATGGAGCACACTAAAAAACCAGGTGATGGGGCCAGGGGTTATATAGCTCAGTGGTATAAGCACCTGCCTAGCAAGCACAAGGTCCTAAGTTTGATCCCTGGTAATTAAAAAAAAAAAAAAAAAGGGAAGACTTCGAAGGAACAAAACGCCTGGCAGAGCCTGCACACAGCTCGTGTTTCCCACAGAGAAACCTCGAGCAGTGAGTGCAGGAATCCGCGGGGCATCTCAGCAGCACCCGCTCGTCCTTGACAGGTGCAAGTAGCCTGGCTGGTGCAGCCCACATGGGGAAAGGAAAGTGGGGCTCACGATGGCTCCCCCAAGGGCCAGCAGTGGCCAAACTTCCATGCAGATCCGTGACTCAGGGCTAGAGCTGTGTCCAGACCACCCCAACCACTAGGGAGCTTGGGACATGGGGCCAGGACCCCATCAGCCCTCAGGTCTCCTTCCTGGGCCACAGGGGTCTTTCTTCCCATGGCCACAGGCACGGGCCCTTCCTCTGTGGCCCCTCTGCAGCCTACTGCAGCTGTCCAACCTGCAGTGCCCAGGGAAGGGGCAGGAATGAAGGCGCCTACTGCCTGCTCCACTGGGACTAACGGCACACGTCTCCCACAGAGCTGCCCAGCCCAAGACGGGGCAGTGCCTTGTCCTGCTGCCTCCTCGCCTGCCCCTGTGTCCCCGCTTACTCCACTGCTGCACACAAATCCCCCCTGCTGGGAACCCAGCCTGAGGCAGCAGGAGCCAGGGAGGCCCAGGGGCCTGGTGGGTCTGCTCCATTGCCCAGGGGACAGGTGCAAGGCCGTGTGTGATGGCCAGGACCAGAAGGGTGTTCCCCAGGTGAGCTGCAGCCGCCACAGCTATGAAAGGAAACAGAAAATGGGGAGAGAAAGCAGGGCCTTGGCACCCCAGCAGCCGCAGGGAGTATAAGGTGGCACAGCCACAACCACCTTGGACATGCGACAGCTCCTCAAAACCTCAGCACAGAGGGCGCAGAGGGACCAACCACCTGCACCCGGGTAGAGGTGGAGGGAGTGGAAGCAGGGGTCCACGTAAGAGCCCACACACACGCCCGGGTCATGCATGACAGCGGGAAATGGAAACCACACAGTCTGCCCACTGGGTGTCACAGGGTAAGCAGATGGGGCCCACCCACCCTGCGAAATGTTACTCTGCCATGAGGAGGAGTCAGGTGCTCAGAGGTGCACACGGATGGGCCCTGCAAACACTGCGCAGCGCAGCATGCCAGGCGCCAGGGCCCGTGCGGTGTCACTCCTCTTACAGGAAATGCCCAGGGCCGGGAAACCCATGGAGCCAGAAAGCAGGTTAGCGGAGGCCACAGGCTGTAGGGTCTGGCTTGGGCCCCACGATGACAGCTATGGGCTGGGGCTTGTTGTAGAGACAGCCAAACTGACTGTGGCAATGACCGCGCCACTCTGCGATGAGGCCACAAACCTGGACTCCCAGCTTCGGGTGCAGTAACGGCAGAGCCGGAGAGCACCCTGGCGGGCCCCGGCATACACATACCCAGAGCAGAGGGGCAGAGGCAGGGGTGGCCTTGGTTCCACCTCTAAGCCCTGGTGGTACCGACAGGACACATGCTTGATTTCTCCTTTATTCCCACTTCTGTCCCCGCATGTCCTCCTCTGGAGCTGCCCACTGGAGGAGTTCAAGCAGGACAAACAACTCGATCCACAGAAGCAAGGATGCCGCAGTGTCCGAGTTAGCAGCGGCATCGTGAGGCTGCCCTGGAGCCCACGGCTGGCTCGCCTGTTTACTCTGCCCTGATCTGTCACCCGGGCTCTTCCTCGGCTCTCGGGCAGCGGTCGCCTCTCCTGGTCCATTCTGTAGCCAAGGCAACTGAGTAGAGGTCCGTTCACACTTGCTTGGAGCAGGAAGCCCTCCCAGGTGTAGACACCAGGCAGAGTGGTCACTGACAGATTTGGCCAGGAAACGCCCACCCAGTGCAGGGCAGGGGGCAGGACAAGGGCTGGGGAGCCCCGGGAGGTCCCTGGGGGGCGCTCTGCCTGGCTGCTACTGTGGAAGTAATGCTGGGCAGGCGGGGGTGCGGCCTGTTTGTGCTGCTGTTCAAACAGACTCCGCCTCGGCCTTGTGCCTGGAAGCAGGGCTGGGCGCAGCCCCGTGGCTGGTCGCTGGTTCCCGTTCTCCCCGCAGCCAGCCCGTGACCACGGGCCTGTGCCTGCCGCCCATGCCCCGTGCTGGGCTCTGCAGCGGCCGGGTGCTGCCCCTGCTGATGGCCCACACCTGCTACCTGCTGCTCGGGGCCACTGTCTTCCGGCTGCTGGAGAGGCCGGCAGAGGCTGAATCCAGGGACCAGTTCCAGGTGGAGAAGCTGCGCTTCCTTGAGAACTACACATGCCTGGACCAGTGGGCCCTGGAGCGGTTTGTACAGGTGAGGGGCGCAGGGGCTGGGGCTCCAGGCAGGTCCACAGCTGGGGCCCAGGGGCTATGGACCCGTGGGTGCAAAGTGTGGAGACAGCGCCTGGCCAGACCCAGTCCAAGATTCACCTAGGTCTGCATGGGGGTTGCAGTGGGACCTCACTGCTCCATGTGTCCTGCCTGTGCGTGATGGCCCTGCAGACAAGGGCCACAGGTGACAGGCCCTGGCAGCTGTCATGCACGGCACAGATACGGGCCGAGTGTCTGATGTCACCACTGTCCATGTTTCCTCCCTGCACTTCCCACCCTCAAATCCAACCTGGGCCCCACCCTGCCTTCGCATGTCCCCAGGTGGGTACACAAAGGTCACGAGCAGCTGCCATGCTGCCCTGGAGCTGGGCTGTGGGCAGTGGCCCAGGTGACCGAGCTGTGCCCACAGGAGCTCTCTGGTGCCAGAACAGGCCGCCCCTTCTGTCTCCCTCTGGCAGCCACAAGCAAACAGGTGGGGCAGGGGACACAGTGACAGCACCCACTGAAGGCACAGAGCAGTGCAGAAGCCCTAGAGTGGTAGCCAGTGTCTGCCAGCACCTGGTGCACCCAGAGCAGCTGGACCTGTGCGTCACCACCTGCGCCTGGGCTGAGCACCTCCCGGTGTTGTCTCCCAGTCACTTGCCCCAGACTGCAGGTGGGAACTGAGGCACGTGAGGTGGAGAGTCAGCCAGGGCTGCTGGTCACTGGTGGAGACAATCGCATCAGCTCTGGCCACAGAGCCCTTCGGGGCACTGCATAAATTGGCATCCGTGCTGGTGGCTGGAATCGACCCAGCAGCGGTTCCCAGAGCGTGGCCCTAGCCCACAGCCAGCCAGGAGCCTGTGAGAGAACAGCTGTCGCCCCCGCCCAAGGCCGGGGACTGCGGGCGCGTTAACGCCGCTAGGTGGCGCTAAGCCCTTCAGTGAGAGCAGCTGGCCAGGGGCAGGGGACCTCGGGCCTGAGACCTTTGGCTCCTCCAGGAGTTTGCGGCAGGGAGTGCGGGGGCCACAGCCTGTCAGGGCGGGGCTGGGAGCTCTGAGCGGCTCTGTGAATGAGGCCAGGGAGGCCAGGGCAGATAGGACATCTGGAGCCTCCGCCTCGGAGAGAGCCTGCTTGGCCAGGAAGCTAGGCTGGGAGGCAGGGTAGTGCTGGGCCAAGACTGAGGGGGACCAATAGCCGGTTCGGCGCTGTCGCCTGCAAGCTCAGCACTCGGGGAGCTGAGACAGGAGGCTCACGGGTGTGAAGCCAGCCTGGCCTGACACCAACCCTATCTTAAAAAAAAAGTCAAAACGAAACAAAATGACAACAAAATCACACATAAAAAAACAAACACCAAGACTGGGTGCACAGCTTGCAGACATCTCCATCCCAGGAATCTCATGCATGGCGCCTCCACCATGAGCGCATGGCACCCGCCTAGGCGAAGCAGAGCTCGACCGCAAGGAACTCGACCTCCTGCCCTTGCTGCACCCTGCACTCCTCGGGGAAGAGCCCACAGGGGTCCGCACCCACCACCCGTCGGGGATGGATGCCAGGGTGTCGCCCCGCAGGACACAGGTCCTGGGAGCAGGGTGCTGTCTGTGGGGAGGGCCTGGATAGAGATGTGGGAAAGAGGACAGCCTGAGTCCGCATCCTGAGCCAGGCCCCACTAGCCGCGGGGGGACGCTGTAACCGGAACCCAGGCCATCCGTGTCCCCAGGGCCAGCACTGGAGGGGAGTGGCTCAGGAGCCAGTGGACATGGTGCTCGTGGGAGTGCAGGTCCCAGCAAGCAGCTACAGGGGACCGGGCCCTGCAGGCAGGAGAGGACCCCGTTCTCCAAACGCGCAGGGCCCAAGGAGAGATGGCTCAAGGCAGCAGGAGCTCGGGTCTAGAAACACGTGGAGCGCGTACACACACATAAAACACATGAGGCCATGCCCCACCCCCCGCAGGCGCCCACGCTTACGCACACAGCCTGGCGGCCTGAGGGAATGTCTCCAGTAGGCTGCTCTGATAAGCTCGCACCCCTGATAGCTCCCACTCTCAGGCCTCCCGGGGAGTAGCCTTAGGGCCTTCGTGGACCAGGCCCCATGAATGCGGGCAACCTCTTTGGAGGGTCGGGACCTCCGGCCTGACAACTGCCCTGGGTCCCAACCCACTCTTGCAGTCCCCACCCCGCTCCCTCCTGGGGTGCTTACGTGGCCCTCTTAGGCCTCCTGCGGTCCCCAGCCCAGGCCACCGTGGCTGGGACAGGTGCTGGCTTGGGGGTGAACGACCCTGCACAGCTTTTGGCCACCCCAGCCTTGAGCTCCGGACCCATGCATGAATTGGGGTGATGCTGAGAGTGACATTCAGGGTCACAATGACTCCCACCTGGAGCCAGCACTGCACCCCCATACGAACCACCACTTGTTCTCCCTCACCCACCTGCCCCGCAGATCATCTTGGAAGCCTGGGTGAAAGGCGTGAACCCCAAAGGCAACTCCACCAACCCCAGCAACTGGGACTTCGGCAGCAGCTTCTTTTTCGCGGGCACCGTTGTCACCACTATAGGTGAGGACACCAGGATGTAGGGTTCCCAAAGCCTCCTGAGTTGGGGCTCCCCAGGCTAAAGTGCTGGGGTGGGGTGAGGCCCATCGAGGGTGAGGGGCAGACACAGGTGGGGACCGGCCAAATAGGAGAGAGGGGCAGTCGGGCTGCACATGGTTCCCGCTGGCGGCTGGGTCATGCCCTGGTGACCTCTGGGGACAGTGACCTCTGGGGACAGCACGTGCGAGGGTGAGGAGAGGCCTTCTCATCGCCCATGCCAGCCCTGGCTGCTGAGAGTTGGCCCTCAACGCTGACTCCACAGCAGCCTGGACCTGTCCTAGGGACAGCGAGACAAAGACGCCTGCCTTACAGTGGACAGTCAGGTGTGCAGGGGCTGTCCCCGAGCGGCAGGTGGCATTCGAAGAGGACGGCACGCCTGCGGTATCTACTGCATCTCTCAGCCCCCCCAGGGAGCGCCCAGACCCTCTGCAACCTGGGCGCCCGCTCCCACACACCTCCCTGGCACTCGGGCAGTGAGACAAGGGGGAGGGGCGCGGACTTGGGTGGAGCCCAGGCTCGGCTCTCAGGGTCGGGTCCAATAGAGAGGGCAGTAATACAAGCAGAGCAGTAATCGGACAGGGGCGGCACAAAGCGCTGGGGGCCTTCAAGGATAGGCAGGACTTCTGTAATAAAGATCCCTGAGCTGGGGTGTAGCTCAGCTGCACAGCGTCTGTCCAGCAAGCACAAGGGCCTGAGTTTGATTCCTGGTGCCTAAAAGAAAGAAAAGATCACCAAGCTAGGTGTGGAAGACAAACCTCTGCAAGAATCCAAGGGCTGCAGGAGGGTCCGGAACTTTCTACACCCCTCCCTACCTCCAGGATACGGAAACCTGGCACCCAGCACCGAGGCAGGTCGGATCTTCTGTGTCTTCTATGCCCTCCTGGGCATCCCGCTCAACATGCTCTTCCTCAACAACCTGGGCACTGGGCTGCGCACCCAGCTGGCCCCAGAGAGGTGGGAGGAGCGGCCCCTGCGCTCCCAGGTCAGTGATGGGGGGCGAGGCTAGCTCAGAGGTCAGAGCAGGAGGGAAAACCCCTTGGGGAAGGGCAGTGACAGCAGGACTGGTGGGGGGAGGCTGAATTCTGAGGCAGGATAGATGAGGCATGGCCGCCATAGCTGTGCTGGGAACTGGGCCATTGGAGGTGACTGCAGAGGCCGAGGGGCAGGGCCTTCCAGGGAAGGAGTGCGCACTGTGGGGCTCTGGGGCTGAAAGAGCTGACTGTGGCCTGCAGTCCTCGGGTGGGGAATCTGAGCCTCACATTGTCATCACAGAGCTCTGAGGTCCTTTCATGCGGTCAAAAAGACCCTGGGCCACTTCCTTTCCCCTAAGACCCGCCTTCTTGGAGGACAGGGGTAGAGCAGGGCCTGGGATAGTTTAGTGGCTTCCTGCACTAAAGGTCTGAGTAGCCCAGAGCCTGTTCAGACTTGACTCTCCTTGACTCACTAACACCCTCTGGTGCTGAGGCCTCCGCAGCCTGGGCTGGTCACACCCATGATGCAGTCCCCACCCCAAAGTCTAAAGGACTGGGACCAAGCTTCGCTCCAGCCCTGGGCCCACAAGTGGCCCAGACCTCCCTGTCTCCACCACAGCCTCCAGTGAACTCAGGGCCGTTCCCCTCACAGCTCCTGAAGGTCCTAGGCCTGGGCCTGGGCCTGACCCTGGGGACCCTGGCCACCCTCGTCCTCCCGCCTGTGGCCTTCAGTCACGTGGAGGGCTGGAGCCTCAGCGAGGGCTTCTACTTCGCTTTCATCACTCTCAGCACCATCGGCTTTGGGGACTACGTTGTGGGTGAGGAGACCAGCAGGGGTCTTGGGGTGGGGAACTGCTGGGATTGGGGGTGAGGGAGAGCTGCCAGGATGATTCTAGGGGACAGTGGCTCTCAGCCTCAGGAGTCTGTGGCTGGGGCCCATCAGTGTTTCCCCCTGGGACCCTGGCTGGCCCTGGATGATGGGGCCATGGAACCTGAGGGTCGCTGTGCCCTCTGACACCCGCTGTGTCTCCTGTGGCAGGCAGAGACCCCAGCAAGCACTACGTCTCGGTGTACCGGTGTCTGGCTGCCCTGTGGATCCTCCTGGGCCTGGCATGGCTGGTCCTGCTCCTGTCCCTGGGCCCTGTGCTCCTGCATGGGTGCTCGCGGCTCTGGTTGCTGGTCAGGGGCCTTGGTCTCCAGGAAAGGCCAGGCCCTGACCCGGACAGGCTCCCTAGGCCTCAGAAGGGCCCCATCTCTGCATGAGCCTCCCCCTCCCCCACTGGCCAAGCAACCCCTGGCCTCCTAGTCCAGGCTGTCCACCCTCAGGGTTTTCATGTGTGTGTGTGTGTGTATGTGCGTGCGTGTGTGTGTGTGTGTGTGTGTGTGTGTTACCGGGGATTGAACTCAGGACCCTGCACTTGCCAGGCAAGTGCTTATTCTACTGAGATATCTCCCCGGCCCAACCTTTTTCCTTTCATTCTTTTAATGTATTTAGTACAGTGTCTACAGGGTCTCATTACATAGACCGGACTCAGTGATGCTTCTGTTTCCAGCCTCCGAAGCACTGGGATTACGGGCACGTGCCGCCATGCCCAGTCTCAATTGCTGTCTCAGCGCCCCCAGGGGTGGGGCTGGCATGACGTGCAGGAAATCAAACCCTAGCCACTTCACTCTGCCTAAGCAGGCGCTTTAGTCTGCTGAGTTATCTGGCCAGCTTACCCTCAGGGTTTTCACCCTACCGACTCCCCTCCTAATCACTTGTCCCCCAGCTGGGGCTCCCTGAGCTCTACGGAGAGAGGCGAGGCAGGTGGGGCTGGAAAGACACAGGGGAGCTGCACTGACAGGATCAGGGCAGGTCCAGGGTAGACGTGTGCCTGTTCCTGAAGCCTCTGTCCCCTGGCAAGTAGGGCCCTTAGTGGCCTGGCCCTCTGGACCGCACTGCAGCCAGACTGGAGCACCCCAGAGACCTGGAAGAGGGGCCCACATCGTGCGGGGGGGGGCAGGGGCTCAGCTTACATCTGGGACCTGTGGACACCCCACAGAGGCCTGGGGCACCGAAGACTCCTGCACTCCATGTCCTGGACCCTTCCTCTGCCCAGGGAAGAAAAGGGACACTGGGCCTTCTCTGGTCACCATTCTCTTGCCTCCCAAGTGCACAGACAAGTGGTGACAACAAAAGAAAACCTGCAGGTGTCATTGAGCCCTTGGGGACAGTCTAGGGCTAGGACTTAGGCAGGAACTGGAGACAATAAACTGGCTTTTGCTTTCTCTTCCCAGTGCAGTTTCCGGTTTCCCGGAGTCTCTACCTGCAGGAGGCCTCTCATGGCTCTCCTGCCCCAGATCAGGGTGCACACTCTTCTGAGGGTGTTAAACCCCCATGGCTCAGGGCCTCCTTCAAAGTCCCTGGGGTTGGGTCCCACAGTGGGGCAGGACGGTCCCTTCTCTAGCACTCTCCCCAAGGGGACACTGGCCTCGAGAGGCCGTGGCCCTTCCCTGCGCAGCACTGATGAGGGTGGGGCCCAGGGCTAGGGACAGCACCCACTGCTCCCTGCCTGGCTCTGGGTGTGGCAGCTTCCACTAGTACACCCAGATGCCGTGACCTGGACCTGCTGATCTGTGTCGTGGTGCAGGGGTGGGGTGGGAGAAGCTGTCCCAAAGGGAGAAGGCGGACAGGGGCAACTTGTGCACATGGTTTGGAATGGGGAACCCCAATCCTGCAACAGAACTGAAGGTGGGACTGGATGCTCGAATTTGGGGATGAGGATGGCAGAGGGTGCAGGCCCTGTTTCACAAGTGTGCAGGATGGTTGGGATCTGGGAGAAACCTAGACCCAGAGCATCTGAGCTGCGGGTGGCAGGCATAGGGAGCTGGACACAGGATGGCCAGGGGGTACCTGGGCACAATGGCCTCTTCCAAGAGAGTCAGGTGCAAACATCATTCTGGGGGAGGGACCTTGCTCCAAGGACCAGCAGGACTGGTGGTGCACATAACCCCTGCAGCTTGGGAAAGGGTCCCAGAGGGCAGTGGGACCCGGCTGAGGCCCTTGTCTGGGGCAGCCTGGAGGGGGCTGGAAGTGGGCACCTGGGCCAGAGTCCGGAACAAATGCGGAGCTCAGCCCACTTTCTTAAGTCTCAGATTCCAGGGGCACAGCCCCAGCCCAAGACACCGAAAGCAGGTATGGAAGAAGGGTGAGGAGGTCACAAGGGCAGAGACTCCTGACAGGATGGGGACCCAGCAGCCAGGGTATGGCAGTCTCCAGATTCGCAGCAGGTGACCCTGACTGATAGCTGCTCCATTTGGTGGGTGCACTGATGCCAGGGGCCTGGCTCGGTCCCCACTTCCCCTCCTCCAGAGCCCAAGAGCCAGGCCTGGACAGCGGTGCCCAGCTCACAATTCCTTCCCCGAGTCCCTGTGGCTCCTCCTAGGAGGAGGGTAGACCCTGCCAGTCTCCAGCTAGAAGCCAAACCCTAAAGGGCCCAGAGCTGAGGGGAGGTGCAGTCCTGAGCCCTCAAGCTGGCCAGAGCAGGAACTCCATCTCCCAAAGGAGTGGACGGAGAAGGCTTAAACAAACGAGTCATGTGGTACAATTTTAGGGCTCCAGGAGGATCGAAACCCTTTATGGAACTGAGATTCTCTGAGGGCTAAGACAGAGCTCTGTGAGGCTGTATGTATTTAGTCATGAAAGCGAGGGAGGGAGAATACGGAAGAAAGGTGGAACTGCCCAAGGGCTTCTGCCAGTAAGACATTATGTTAATTTAGAACTACATTATTTCCAGGAAGGTCTCCACTGCAATCTTTACCTAGTTGACTGAGGTTAGAGCCAGGAGTCCTTAGCTGTCACCTTGTCTTCTGAGGCAGCCTGGCTTCACCCACCAGTACAGGCTTCAGCTGGGACCAGTGACTCATAGAGGCTCACTGCCCAGGAATCCTCTGCCCATCTCCAGACAAGGGGTCCAGGCCTTGGGCAGACTCACAAACCAACACAGAATGACAGTGACCCCATGCGGGTGCTGTTCTGTCTTCCCATGTAATACCTCTTCCTTGAGTCGGCTCCAGGAAGGAAGCATGTTTAGCATTCCCATTTTGCAGATTAGGAAACTGACGTGTAGGGAGGTTCAGTAACTTGCAGGGGCCAGTAGCACTGCCTCCTTACTGCCCAAAGTGGAGTTGACTGCTGAGTTCATCTCCGTCCCGCTGGGGGCTGAGGTTGTACCCCCATTTTTAGGGACCACTCTGCAGCCTCCCCCAGGGCATTACGGGGTAACATTACCAGCCTGGGGCACTGGAAGATCACAGACTTCCTTTTCAGGCCCACCATTGCCACTGCCAGTAAGGGCATTCGGGCCAGGGCAGCCGGGCTGGGAAGGTGGCCTCTCCCTCGCTGCAGGCCTACTGACTCAGTTTTTCCTCTCAGGAAAACCCCAGGGGGTGCCAGCCCACATGGCCTCTTAGGGAGCACAGGTCCCAGATGGTCCAGGAGGGGGCTAGCCTGGGAGGCACTGAGCCTGGGCTTGGGTGTGGGAAGTAGATACCTGAAGAAAGCCTGGACTCTCCCAGGCTCCGCCCCTTTACCTGGCCCAGCCGTGTCCCGCGCAGCAGTCCAGGTGGGCCTGGTCTTGGGAGGGCACCGGGGGCTGCTGTGTAGAGGAGACACGTTAGATCCATCTCTCTGAATGCCCTCAGAGACACTGGTCAGGCCCCTGGTGCCCTTTCTGCTCGGGCATCCGGCCCCTGCAGGATACGAAACTCACCACCAGGGGGCAGGCAGATACCGCCGGCGACTGGGGCCCGCTTCCTACTACATAATGCGTTCAACCAGCATACATGGGGTCCTCAAAGTCCTGCCCCCAAGGGCCGTGTCTCCAGATGTGGGGGGCCTTTAGCTCCTGAACTCCATCTTTCCCACTCCCTCTGGCTTTCTCACATCAAATTCAGACGCTGTTTTCCCAGCCTGGACCGTTTCTGTCCCTTCTTCTGACCCAGAGCTGACCTACAGCTCTGAGCCAGCCTGAGGACAAGGCAGCGTTTTCTGAGTGAGTGTACACAGTACGTGCTTAAGGGTTCCCCTCCCTCCTGAGCCTCATCAACAATGCCTCATTCCATCTGCTGGCTCAGAAAAGTCACCCAGGGCCCAGTGGCTGCAGAGGGCAAAGCTAGAATCAGGCCCTGAGGTGTTAGGGCCTGCAGTACCCGGGCTCGGCTGGTTGCACCCTGGCCTCACCAGGACCCTTGTGGGGTCCAGTGTCGCACAGTTCAGGGTGCGTGGTGGGTGTACTGGCCCCACCCAGGAGCAGGAGTGGTAGGCAGCAGTGACGGGAGGCATTCCCCCCTTTATTTACGTTCATTCATCTACCTCCCTGTTCATTCCTTCACACATTCTGACAGCCATTGAGGAGCTCCGATTGATCCTCAGGTGCTGGGCCAGTCACTGAGAATGCAGAGATGACTGTGACCCAGCCCGTGCAGTTCAGGGGCTCCCGACTCCTGAAGAGATGGAGACAAATGGTTTGCACTAGCATGCCTGCCCTCAAGTCCAGGCCAGGTGGGGCCTGATAGGGAGGCCCCCAGGGAGGAGCTGGGGACCCAAAGGGCCTCTGTGGTGGGCAAAGATGGTGCCAGAGGATCTTGGGGTCTCTGGGGGCAGGAGACCACTTGGAGCTGGGAAGGTTGGGCCTCAGATGAGGCTCAGACAGCTGGGAGGGACCCTGCCCTCATGAGAAGTAGCACTGGTTGGGGGTCTGCTTCAGACACAGGAGGCAGCTGCATGGGTCAAGGTAGGTGGGGCCGAAGGCACACATGGTGTCTCACACCTGTAATCCTAGCTGCTCAAGAGGCTAAGGCTGGCATCCTGGGCCACATGTCTCTTAAACCTGTCCCTTGTGTGTGCAGGAGATGCTGAAGAGCTCTAAGGGAGGAGGAGGGAGGACCAGGGGCCACTGGTGATGGCCTCAGGCTGCAGGGCTGACACCCAAGAGGACAGAGGGAGAGCAGGGGGCAGCCTGGGGACTGATTGGCCTGTGTGCAAGTGGCACAGTAGACGCCAGAGGTGACTCTCCACCATCCTTGGCCCACTGAGAGCTGAGATTCGTCTGTCACACAGGACCTGCTGCTGCTGCCTTCCCTGCCCCTGTGCCTGCAGTGGGGTTGGCCATACGGGGAGCTCAGGGACCTGAAGTCATGGGGCCATGGCCTAGACAGGGTCCACCCTGTGCTTTGTGCCCAGCATGGAGCTGTCCTCCAGGTCCCAGTCCAGGCTCTGCTGTGGTCCTGTGAGTCCTCCCCATCCGTGCGCCCCAGCTTCCTGGAAGTGCAGGCTGGAGACAC